ATCGACAACACTCACATATCCATCTCTTTCGATGGTGGCACGAATCTGCTCGGAGCCAGGGGTGACTGTGAACTGAGCTTTGCACTTCAGGCCTTTATCCAAAGCCTGCTTGGCCACAGAGGCAGCGCGGCCCATGTCCTCGTAGCTGGAGTTAGTACAGCTGCCGATCAGACCTGAAGGAGTATGGAGCCAACAGAATGAGTATTTTGCTGAACACAAGCCGCTGGTAATTTTCATGCACTGAAATGCAGCACAGTAAATAGCAGAAGGTCTAAAGCGGATTCATCCCTGGTCAGCTCTTACCAACTTTAACCTCCAGTGGCCAGCCGCTCTTCTCAGCAACACTACCTATTTCAGACACTGGGTGAGCCAGGTCAGGGGTAAAGGGTCCGTTGATGTGTGGCTTCAGCTGGAGAAAGAAACACAACGTTCAAGGAACTCAGTTATTCTTAAATAAACTAAACTGTGATTGAAGCAGTGAAGCGAAGCTCTCACTTATTTATATGTTTTGCAGAAATTTATGACATGTCATGTTTAATTGTAATTAGGGCTGAATGATATTTGGAAATTAATGTCATTGCAATTTTTAGGCATAATGTTAACGTAATTCAATGTTCTATATATTTACACAAAAACATATGCATGTTTGCATGCACAAAAGGACCTATGTCTTTCAGTACGAGACAATCACTCCACCTTACTTAACAGCTATTTCAATTGAAAATTCTTGATCAATCTATTATTACTGCAGATGTCAGCCATGATAAGAAGGAAGGGGGTTAGACAGGGACTGAATAAAATGGGTTGCTTTATGTGCAATGATGGGAAAGAAGCATCAAATTATAATAATTTCAGAGAAAGATCATTTGAGAATCATGTCATTGCAATAAATATCATATACATCTTGCAACCTACAGATAACGAGAAACAAAGTTCACCACAGTGTATTATACATAAAGCGCTCTATCCAAAACCCACAGTTCAACCTCCAATTAATGAGTCCTTACCTCAGTTCAAATCTCCGCAAGACTCCATCTCTCAACAAAAACCTTTTTTTTTTTTTTCTCGACCCAGCAAGCAAACAAACAAAAAAAAATAAAAAGTTGTCCAACGAAAATAAAACCAAGTGACACCTCTCGGGCCTAATAGACAAGCTTAGTAATTCTCAGACAACACCGGAGTAGATATAAAACACCAAAAGATAATTGTAAAAAAAAAATAGACAGACCTCGTCCAGATTGAGCTCGATGACCTGGTCATACTCGCAGCCTTCATCTGGTACCAACAAGTCAGAGTACTCCTCAGCCAGAGCAGCGATCTCTGGGAAGAAACAAGAGAGGGAGCGTTGAGACACTAACAAGATATCAAACTTGCATTTATAACAAGTGAGTTTCCATGAAAATGAACATTTACAAATTGTACAACATTATGAAGGACCAAAGCACTACACATACGTCCACGTCCAGTCTTCTCCAGGTAGGTCCTCATGCGGTGGTTGTAGGGGAACACGGAGGTCGTGGCTCCAATCTCTGCTCCCATGTTGCAAATGGTGGCCATTCCTGCACACAATAAAAAAAGATTAACATTACACATAAGCCAAACACAAGCTACATAAGAGAGATCGATATCAAAGTGTAATGAAGTCAGGATGAACAAGCTTCTATTTTTTTTTTTTTACTGACCAGTGCAGGAAATGGAGTCAACTCCAGGCCCGTGGTATTCTACGATGGCTCCAGTGCCTCCCTTCACTGTCAGGATGCCGGCCACTTTCAAGATAACATCCTTAGGAGAAGTCCAGCCTGAAAGGGTGCCTGTCAGCTTCACACCAATCACCTTCAAGAGATTGATGAGTGAATTATGTGTAAGATTTAGAGGTGGAAAGAAAACCCAACTACTGTTACTTTGGAGAAAGAAAATTCAAGAACATTTAAGAAACAGGTGAAAGGAAACAAGAGGTCCAAGACGACACAGAACAGAATGTGTGCAAAATATTGTTTTCTGCTAACCTTGGGGCACTTGAGCTCCCAGGGGATTCCTGCCATGACATCTACAGCGTCTGCTCCTCCAACTCCGATGCAGATGGCACCAAGCCCACCACCATTTGGTGTGTGGGAATCTGTGCCAATTAGCATCACTCCTGGGTAGGCGTAGTTCTCCAGGATGATCTGTTTTTGTATGACATCTTGACGTCAGCTTGCTAAAATAACAGCGGCTTTAATAACTTTCCAGGCACTACATCCATTGATACCTGGTGGATAATTCCAGAGCCTGGTTTCCAGAAGCCAACTCCATATTTTGCCCCAGCGCTGGACAGGAAGTTGTAGACCTCACGGTTGACTTCCTAGGATGAGAATCAGGATGACAACTTTTGGTAACAAGTCATTACAATTACATCAGTACAATTAACATAAACAAACAAGACCCCTCACCTTTGCTCTGGCCAGATCTACCACTCCTCCGGTCTGGGCCTCAATCAGGTGATCACAGTGGATGGTGGAGGGCACGGCCACCCTTGGCAGGCCGCTGCTGATAAACTGCAGCATCGCCATCTGGGCTGTAGCATCCTGCATGGCCACGCGGTCGGGACGCAGGCGCAGGTATGTACGACCGCGGTCGATTTCCTGGTTGTGGGGGTCATCGAGGTGGCCGTACACGATCTTTTCTGACAAGGTGAGTGGCCGGTTCAGCCTGGACAGAAAAATGAAACAAACTTTAATTCATAGTAGGATGCTACAGCAGGAGAGGAGATTTCAGCGGGGACAGGGCAGATGGTGAGGATGCAGCTACAGTGTGAAAAACAACAAATGAAAAATAGCAGAATAATTAAAACTACTGAGTTGTGGGGTTATAATATTATTAATAATAAGTTTATATATTCAAGATAAATATTAATACTTTAGAAATTAGTTGAAAATGCACCGTGAGTCAGGCTGACTGACAAGAGTTGGTTAAGGCTACTACTGTGATGGAAAAACTGTGGTAAAGGACAAACACTACAAATCAAACAACCACACAGATGTAGCGGGAGTGTTCAGAGGAAACAGTGATGTGAGCCAGAACAAATATAGAGTAGATTAGGAGAACACTGACCTTTTTCGCACAATGTCGATGCTGGACTGGAGCCTCTCGTAGTTGATGAAGGAGGTGGGCTCAAAGCGGCTCATAGACACGTTGGCCTTGGCTCTGTAAGCTGCTGATACATGCAGGCGCCGTGCACCATGGCCCAGAGCCAGCTGGAGACGACAACAACAATCAAAACATGGTACAAGTACAAGCGTTACCACAGAGCTGTGGACAAAACCAAACAAACACTATTAACCGCAGCAGCACTGTTTCCCCACATACAGACTTTATTTGGGTAGCTTAAATAAATAGATTAGGGCTACAAGATTTTTATACATTTTAGAATCAATTTTCTATCCATCTTTTGACAATCTTCTTGGAATAGAGCAGATAGAAAATATTATATATTATATTAAAATATTGTGCCTAAAAATGTATTGATTTGGAAAATATGTTGGATATCAGAGTGAACAAAAAGTTGCTTTCAATCAATTATGAAGCTAAATCAAGTATTAACAGATCATTAGACATTACAGAGCCAAAGAAGGGTTCACATTTAGGCTGGGCAATATCGATATTTATTATTCAATTTATTTTGGTGCAAACTAAAATTTGGTAGAGTTACGATTTATATTTTTGCAATTCTCAAGTGCTTTTAATGACTCAAGTTTTTCTCTCAGATTTTCACAAACAGCTGAAAATGGCAGTCAGGGCTCAGCCCAATGTCATTAACTAGACAACATGTGATTTTCAAAGCCTACAAGAGGCATTGTTTAATATGTCGATATTAGAAGACAGTGTTATGTGCTCTTTTTCTTTTAAGTCTCCCAGGGTTCAGATATTTAGTTTAGACAGCTGGTGGTCCCTTATCATTAACTGTTCACCTGTGCAAATCTTGACAGCACACTGCTGTTGTTTGAAATATGACACACATCATGCTAACTAAAAGACCGAATAAATTACTTTACTTTTAAGCAATCCCAAATTATTGGTTAAGACAGTGCTTATGGCATTATTTATTATAATTTAAGTTAAGTTTTCCATCTTTTACACGCTGCTCGCCTGTCTGTGCCTGCTGGGAGCTCTAACCTTGTAGTTAACCTTGCTATTAGACACCAAACTCCATTTCTTAAACGAACCTAACTATGTTCATTTAAAGGATAATTGTATCTACGATGACTTGTAGTAAACTGAGACATTAGCCGTGTTTTATTAAACCAGTGCCAAACTAGATGTAGCCCACTGGATGCGTTCAGTCAGTCAGGACACGATGACCTGGCCAGCCGGCCGGTGACTGTTTCACATGTTATTTCTCATCAGAAACGGCTCTAGGAGCTTTAAATAGATCTGGTTAACATTACAATGGGTTTATTAAATCTAACACAGCAGGCGACATCCTTCACAGGTTTGTAAATATGGTGCAATTCGCCAATTTCAGTCTCTTACCTGCAACCGGGCGATAGTCAGGCAGTAAGTTGCCATTTTGCTCACTGACAAAGATGTGTCGGCCAGTGGTGACGTCACGGTTTTGTAGGCCGCGGTGCCGCAGGTCCTTAAAGGGCCAAACATTTGGGTTAGTTTGACTTTTTCAGATTGTTTACAAAAATGGAATTTAAACTTATAATTATCAGTCTCAGTTTTATGTCGCTTATATTTTTAATAATATATACATTGAAAACAAACCCCTGCAAGAAACAATGTTTAATGTTTGATTTAGTTTTATAAAACTGACAGGACGGTGACAATTTTTATTTCATTTCAGCTTTTTATTTAAAAAGATATAAGTCGTACAAAGCCTCATTGATTTTATTGAAAATAAATTATAATATATTTTTGGAGAAGAATGTGGATATGGAGCAGGATCAGTGACTTTAACGTTATATACAAACAGGATGAAATGATAATCGTTGTCTTTTCTCTCCCCTCCTGGAGACGCTGGGTGGCGGTAATGCAGCTCCTCGTACAAAGTTTCCCGTTCAAAGGTGAAAGTTCAACCAAATCAGCAGCGCTCGTCTTACGTTAGGCGACAATGGCTAAACATCATCCAGATTTGATCTTCTGCAGAAAACAAGCCGGTGTCGGTACGTTTTAGCCTATTTAAGTCCACGGATTATTTAACAGTGTTGTTTCTGCTGCAGCTGGAGGCTCTTTGTTGTTGTTCTGCTCGAGCTAACGTTAGCTGCCATGCTAACAGTTACAGCATGGGTTTCATTGAAAGTCTGTTAGTCTTGGTGTTAGCCTACAAATGTCTCAACAAGTCTCTGTCGCTACGGTGATGTTAAAATTTCACAGAATATTACTTAAGTGTATTTAATAATGGGCTTCGCTAAACATGAGAGAGTGAACGTGTATTCACCCTAAGCTAGCAAAGCGATATGAATTAACGTTATTATTATCAGCACTGACTGCTTTGTTTTCTTTCCTCAGCTATCGGGAGACTTTGCGAGAAATGTAAGTGTTTCCATCTTTGACTAATATAACAAAGTATTTTAACCCTGTTTTCCTCTATGTTTTAAGTAACTATTAAAGCCTGCTGTCGTTAGTCTTCTTCATCTTTGCATATGTAACAATAACGTTATCTCTGCATAAGCATTTAATAAGACAATAACATTTTTTGACATGACAATTGTTCACAAAAACCAATCATGGTTTCCCAGCTAAAAAGAGAAGTATAAGTTCATGTCGTAAACAAGATGTGACACATATAGTTTAGCCAAACTAACCTTTGTATGCTTTACTTTCACATTGTTGTTAAACCTTTGATATTCGTACAAGCATCTGATTCTAGCTTTGTGATATATTTTGATATCTTTTTATTAACGCAAACCAAGTGTTTACTCTACATTGCACCATCTTACAGTTTCACATCTGGAAAAGAAAGCTGTTCAAAGATCTCATTGAGTTGTGGATAGTTTCTATACGGCTTTACCTGTTATTTCATAGACTAAAGAATCAATTATCAAAAATATCGGGATCAATCAGTAATGAAAAAGTTTGTGGCTTCTGTACATTGACACATACACAAACATACACGTTTGTTTTACAGTGTGACATTATGGCAGGTTAAAGTTATATCTTTAAGACACATTTTTGAACTTTTCCAGCGAACTATAATGTCTTCAATCCTTAAAATAAAGCAGGTTGCAGCTGTGGAAGATGTCAGTGATACAGCACGTCAACGTTCATTTAGTTGCGATGTGTTTTCAACATCAGTGAAGGCTGCGTTAACATCAGGTTAACTCTGTACAAACACTAAATTCTCAGTCAATTCTCTCATCTGTCTTTCCTCTGCTCCTTTCAGGTGATGGAAAATGTGTCATCTGTGATTCTTATGTGAGGCCGTGCACGCTGGTGCGCATCTGTGATGAGTGTAACTACGGCTCCTATCAGGGACGCTGTGTCATCTGCGGAGGGCCTGGAGTTTCTGATGCCTACTACTGTAAAGAGTGCACCATCCAGGAGAAAGATGTGAGTGTCCTAAAGCACATGTAGCCTTTTGTTGTCTGTCACTGTGCACTGAAGATGTTAGACAGATAGATTATTATGACTTAGCAAACCTTAAAGAAATAAACAGCACTTTGAATTTAATCTGAACCCTGCTGCAAATACAAGAATTGTCCAGCTTCTTTTTTTTTTTTTTAACGGGCTCTTTTGTCTCTTTCTGTTTCCTTTACAGCGAGATGGCTGTCCTAAGATTGTGAATTTGGGCAGCTCCAAAACAGACCTGTTTTATGAAAGGAAGAAGTACGGTTTCAAGAAGAGGTGAAGACGGCACGGCCTAGTCCTTGATTTAGTTTTCCAGCTTTTGAAGATTTTCTTTGTATCCTCAAGAAACATTTTTTGACATGTCAATAAAGCTCTCTTTTATATTTTTGTCTTCATTTTCCCTCTGCTTTGAATGTTAAAAAACTCAAGAATACTCACAGGCAGGCTTATAACACATCAGGTCCTTGACATTTATATAAGTGCCACCATTAACAAACACTTTACTGTCCCTAAACACAAAATATTTTACAGCTCAACCAGGCTTCATCCAGTGAGATTCAGCATTTAGTTTGTCATCAATTGGTACCTGAAATAAATAAACTTATTACTGTTCAATTATATTTTTATTACATTCGTTACAACCACAAATTTACAGTTACTACGAGAAAGGTAATCAATGCCCATAATACATTTTGTTTTATCTAATCAAACTTTTACTTTACACATTTAATACAGATATGGAAGAAGAAACTGTGTTCCATCATGAAGAGTTAATATTTAATGTGGTAGGTTACTTGTATAAATGTTAACGGCATGCGTTAGGCAGCGTGTCTCTTGGTAAAAAGTGATATGAAATGCTAAATGTTGTGAACTGGGTCAGTTTAAGGTAATGAGCTCCATCACACTTTCTTCAGCTTCTGACTTCACACCCTCTCCCTGAGTGTCCTCCACCAGATGGCAATGTTTCACACTTTTCTGCCATGGCTTTAGCTCTCCCAACAGTTCACACTGGCATCTTGTGTAAACTCCATGCTGAATTGTTAGGGATTCTCCAATCTACAAACTATTGCTTTTAGTGGACTTACGTTCAGATTGGGGAGAACCAAATGAAAGAAATGATTATGAGTTAAAATAGTGTTGAGGCACTGGCAGATGCAAATGCAAGAGCAGAAATTACTGTATTATACACTGCTCAAAAATATTAAGGGAACACTTAATCATCACAGTATAACATCATTTCAAAGTCAATCATGTTAAACACCAGGGATATAAATCTGTCCAGTTGGGAAGCATAAGTGACTGTGAATCAAAGTCACTTGTTTTTGGTGCAAATGAAAGCAACAACAGGTGCACTGAAGAGGCAACAGTAAGACAACCCCCCCAAAAAGGGAATGTTTCTGCAGTTTGTGGCCACAGAAAGCATGCCGTCGCAAGGTTTGCTGTCTCCCAGCACAATCTCAAGAGCCTGCAGGAGATACCAGGAGACGGGCCGTTACACAAGGAGAGCTAGACAGGGCTGTAGAAGGGGATCAACCCAGCAGCAGGATCAGTATCTGCACCTTTGTGTGGTGAGGAACAGATTGAGCACTGCAAGAGCCCTACAAAATGACCTCCAGCAGGCTACCGGTGTACATGTTTTTGACCAAACTGTCAGAAACAGACTCTACTAGGAAGACATGAGGGGATCTGTGCTCACAGCCCAGCACCATGCACGTGGTCCACACTGAACACATGACAGACATGAAAGAGTCTGGAGAAGCTGTGGTGAATGTTATGCTGCCTGTAACATCGTCCAGCATGACCAGTGTGGTGTTGGGTCAGTGATGGTTTGGGGATGCAAAATCTGGTATCCTGAGTGCTGTTAGATACCAGGATGAAATCCTCAGAGCCATTGTCAGACCTTACACTGGTGCAGTGGGCCCTGGGTTCCTCCTAGTGCAGGACAGTGCCCGGCCTCATGTGGCCAGAGTGTAAGCAGTTCCTGGATGATAAAGGCACTGATGCCATTGGCTAGAACTGAATCCAACTGAGAACCTCTGGGACGTTATGTATTGGTGCATCTGACACCACCAAGTAGCACCACAGGATGTCCAGAAGCCACTGAGGCCCTAATCCAGGTCTGGCAAGAGGTCCCCAACACCATCCGCGGTCATCATAAAGGTACGTGGGGGCCATCCACACCACTGAGTCACATTATGAGTTGCTGTCATGAAAGTCACACATGTTGGATCAGCCTGTGATTTTTCTTTTTACTTTAATATTTGGTGTGATTTTTCCAGCCCTCAGTTTGTGATTTTGGTTTCCATTAACAGTTATGTAATTTTGTTCTCAACAGATTATACAACGTACAGAAAGGATTTGATGCATCGAGAGCTGATTATTTAAGTGTTCCCTTAATATTTTTGAGCAGTGTATTATACAAAGAAAGGGTAGTCTGGTATTAATATTTCCATGTATTCTTCTGATTGGTGCATCGGCCTCGAGTCCAGTATCCCTATTTTAAACCTATTTCCATCATATCTTCACTTCACTGGTGAGCTGAGCTTCGATTTCTTTAGACTGGACTTAAGACACCTGCTCACTGCTAGAATCTTAAAAAACATTAGTGAAGGAAAGAACTCAATACTCAAGACTTTCTCAACAAGGCTTTATTTTTACATACCTTATATACACAAGACACAAAAGGTACCTTCACCCAAAATGTCATGACGTTTCTTTACAAAGAAATACAAAGATGGAACCAGGAAGATTAAAAACAAACCGTCAAAGATAACCGATTGACCTGTTTCAGATAGAAGGCAGATGCAACCTCTATTACAGCAGAATGCATTTAAAAAAAAGATTCAAACGAATCAGGAAGCTCATAGTTAATGAAATTTAAAATTTACACTTCAGAGACCTTATGATGGAGAATGTGACTCATTCTGACACCAACGATGCTAGGAGCAAAACTGTTCCTACAAAGATCACTATAGATACATGTGGTCAACCTGACTTTTTCCTTAAAAAGGATTTTGTAACAAAAAAGCCTGATGTTAAAACAGACAAAGTCGTATTTACCGCAGGTTGTAATATCAAAAGAAAGAGTCTAGATGAGTTTAAACACCTGAGAAGAGTTTCTCCTTGGATAACATTCTTTACACTTGGAAACCCTTTCCCCAAAAAGGTTTAATAAAGAACAAAACAACAGCTCCCCCCTTTTGTCAGAATTGGAAAGCAAAATAATGCTGGGTTTAAGTCACAACTCTAACTTGAGTTGTTATGTTACAATACGCCCCCCTGTAAACTTCAGTGAAATGGGGGTTCCTTGTTGATGAAAGAGAAGATCCAACACAGCCTATTGAGGCTTCCTTGTTTGTATAAGAAGAAGAACAAAAACTGCCAGCTTCCAGACGTCAAAAAGAACAAGTAAAGAAGTTCAGACACAATTTTTTAAATGAATAATAAAAGTTGGGTAATTAAGTCGGATAAATGTGTCTAACACCACGTCCTAAAAACTTAACAGTTGATACAGTTGAAATGCGCATACACACCAAGTCAAAAGTTTTTGAATACCTAGTTTTGTGAATGTTCATTTCAAGCAATATATTGTGAATGACAGGGAAGTAGGAGCTTGATCACTTTAATTAGCACATAACCTACTTTATATTGTCTCATAGCTGATGCTAGCCCAGTATGGGAGTTTTTAGGCTAATAAGTCAAACAGTTCACCTCACGCTGCCTTTATTAAGGCACAAATTAAACTCCTGTTAGCACCCGACAGCCTGCCTTAAACACACATTTTGAGACATTAACAGTCATTGTGGAGGCAAATGTCAGCTCATCAGGGACAGGAAATGTACTGTAAGTTTACAATTTCATTACTTGATATCCAAAACTGAAATGTTGTTCAAAAAACTTGACTTGCATTGTATCTGAGTTTGAAGTCTACAAACTATGATTTTTACATTTTACTATTTACAGTAAATGCATCAATGGACTCTACATGACACTTCTGAAGCGTTACTGGCGTGACTGGACGAGTCAACATTGACGCCCTGCAGAGGCTAAGCAGGCGTCTTACCACGTGACAAAAACGACAGTGGGACATACATTGAAAACACGGAGAGCAGAGCGTGCATGTACAGCTCAGTGTTGCTGGTAATGAGTACTTGTACATGAAGAGAAGTGAACATGGCTGCGCTCTTTTTTTGCCATGTCACTGTAATCCCCTGAAGAAGCTTAAATTATTGGAAATGTCACAGTCAAAGTTTTTGTGGGCAAAGAAAAGCCCAGCTCTTCACATCACTTGCCACATAATATACATTTGAAAATATAATGGGCAAGTGGGTTTCAGAATTCATTAAAATTTTCAGTTTATTTCTATAATAGGGGTGTCACAATTTTCCAAATGCACAATTCGATTTAAACTATTTCCCGCCCAGTTTACGTTTTCAAATTCTCCTTTAAAAAGATAGATATGGCTTTATGGTCTGAAGTGTGATATAAACGCCACATTGTTTTTGGAATGTACCACACTAAGGCCATATGGTCAAATTTAAATAATTTATTAAAATGTAACAATAACTTATGTCACCCATCACTGGGGAACAAACTGGTGAACACAAAAATAAAAGTAACAGTCACTAGATGGCAGAAGGGTACTTTACAACAACAGCTTGAGTTTCCTCATCATTTGTTTCTGATGCTGGCAAACATGACCTGCCATATTTGTTGTGGTGCCTGAGGTGGTGTATGGTACCAGTGTCGCATAGCCTACAAGCTGGAGTTTTTCTGTCAACGACACACTCATTGTTGACATAACTCACAGGGAAGGCAAAATGTTGCCACAAAGGTGACTTCAGAGAAGCAGAGAAGAAGCAGGAGGATTTTCCAGTTCTACTTATTTGTTAGGGACAAAGCACATTATTGAACATCAGTATAAAAAATACAAGATGTAAAAACATGCCGGAGTTTAGCAAGAATGCCAATTCACATCCGCAGTCCCTGGGCAGGTAACAAAAACATTACAAGTGACAATATACAGATACAAATATACAAAGCACAAGTAGAAAGGTTTTGTTGTTCCTCAGTCATCTCCAACTACTACTGTGACCACAGTGTCTCACAGTGCAGCTACAGGCTAAGCTACGCTGTTTTTTTGTTGTTTTTTTTTTTACTTCTGACGCGCACAAGTAAGCAGGGGCGGAGAGAGAAAAAAAGAAAAGTCACCAGAACTTCTACACTGACATTCAGATGCTCAAATGCACGCGTATACTGTCCTTACACCACTTGTGCATTGGGAACATTCCCTTTCTTTAAGCAACAGCCAGGAGAATCTGCTTTGGATATTGTAGGTCGATATGGAGAGCTCATTTCGAACTTTCATTAAAATCGTGACACC